TGCATTTCTTTTCCCTTCTTGAGCTGTCTTCGGATTGGTTTCTGGAGGATGTATAAGGCGCTTAGGGCTGTTCCGGGGTCGGCGCCTTGGTCTTGGTTACTTGTGCGTCATCTGCACTTTTGAAGCTTTTTGCACCGATCCTGCGGGGATGCGCTGTCGCTGTTTTTCGCTGCACGTCTTGCATGTCGACAGGTGGTGCTCGCTTCCTCCTTGGAATCTGCTTGGGCCCCTGGCTCTTAGATTGTCTTCGCTCTTTTGTCCTTTGTTGTTTGCAGCCTCTGCATTTGAGCAGTACTGTATATGCAAGCAACTTCCTCCAGCTGCCCTTGGTCCTCCAGGGGGTCCCAGGTGGGTTCGTCCCAGATGGGGCGTGCCAGGGCTCCACTCGTTGGCCCTTTCGCTGATCGCCTCGTTGACGGTGTGATTCATGGGCTTTTCATGTCGTTTTTTGCAACCTGCGGTGGCTCCTCCTCCTTCAGGAGGTTCGGGGCTCGCAGGTCAGGCCAGCTCTCCTGCGCTCTGTCAGGTCGTCTTGGAGTAGGTGTGCTTGGGCGTGGTCGAAATGACGACGTCCCTCAGGTGGGTTTCTCACCTCTTTCCAGTTCTGAAACTGGACTGTGTGGACCTGCGGTTCATTCTGGACTTGTCCCATCTGAACCCTGGGTTTCTTGCCCCTCCTTTTGGATGACCACTCTGTCCCAGGTCTGGCTTCTGTTGGAGCCAGGCGCTTGGATGTTGTCCCTGAACCTCAAGGACGCATGTTGGCATGTCCCAATTCATCCGAGGTTCAGGGACTGGCTCGGGTTTGTTGTGGGGCATCAGAGGTATCACTTTCGTTGTCTCCCTTTCGGGTTTAATCTGTCACCTCGCATGTTAACACGCCTTACCCAGGTCGTAAGTGTGTGAACACACTTATGACCCACCTGCAGGGTCGTCGGTGGTCCGTCTGCATCTGTTACGTGTTCGGGTGTTGGCTTACCTCAATGACTGGCTGGTCTGGGCTCCCAGTCGGTCCGCGTGTCTGCTTGTCAGGGGTTTGGTGCTTTCCCAGCTAGCCGGGTTCAGGTTCCTGGTGAACTGACAGAAGTCCTATCTGGTACCCTCGCAGGTTTGGACCTGACTGGGTCTTGTGTGGGACTCTCGGACTGCTTCTTTGTCTCTCCCTCTGGAGTCTCTTTTTTTTTTTTTTTTGGCTGCGGTCCTGCATGCGCTGACAACACCTTCCACCACTGACCCCACCTGCCTCCCCTGACATCTTCCACCACTGACCCCACCTGCCTCCCCTGACCCCACCTGCCTCCCCTGACATCTTCCACCACTGACCCCACCTGCCTCCCCTGACATCTTCCACCACTGACCCCACCTGCCTCCCCTGACAACACCTGACACCACTGACCCCACCTGCCTCTCCTGACACCATTTTATCAGCCTTCAACCATTTCTTCCTAGGAACAATGGGTAAGCATAACAAAACACTGTATAACTGTTTACACTTTGGTGAATCATAGTTGATGACAGCCAGCTCCAACGCTCGGTCTTGGTGACCACTTGGACGAACAATCCTTGCTTAATCGAACAATTATATGTTCCACTGAACATTTAGTACCGAATTCAATTTATTCGGCTCTTCCGGGAATTCACTAGAGTGGGGTTCGAATTCCGGGAGTGGTGAGGAAGCTCTATAATAATATTTTGATTGTATAAATTTTTGTCTTAGGTCGTTCATTTTGGTATCAAATTGTTCGCAATAGAATGCTCTAAAGGGATATATGTATATAAGGTCAAGTGAAAGAACAACATTACCAATACATTATTTATGACACAATATCATTCTTCTTTGTGTTGCTTCCTTCACATAAGTGTTTTTACCACAATATCATATGTATAAATAAAAAAAGTGTGTACTTACCACCCAATGATGTTTGTAGAGCATGAGTTGAGCATTAGGTTGAACCACTCCACCTGCTCCAAAAAAGGTTTCCTGAAGTTTCTCAAGCCATGTTTTATAGATGGAGTGGAGGGGGATAAGCATTACTGCTTAGCCACCCAGTATGTCCTCTTGTGATGGTATGCACTGTAGCATGGTGCAGCACACAGTGACACACCACATGAATTACACTTATACTTAGTATCCTTCCTTTTACCAGACTTGTAGCAAACACGACACTTCAGACCTTTCTTGATGCGAATTAGGGAATGGTTCAAGTTCCTGTTCAGACGTTATGGTTTATCCACAATATGAGGGTTTCTCCTAGCAGCAGCACCAGAAAGAGTAATCTGACTCTCGTCTTCTGAGTCAGATGATGAATTTTCATCTCGAGGTGAAGATGGGAATAGTGGCCGCCTCACACGTGATGATCCGGGTGTTGCAACATTGTCGCCAGTAGATCTGCTCTCATATACATCATGAGCATGTATGATGTTGTCATTTTGGAGAGGCCAATTCTTAGACTTAGAATTCAGTAGTGACGAAATGATCACTTATGGAAATTGAGCAATGTGAGTTTCTTTGTATCCATTGTGTAGTACTTGTATAACACAAAAGCATTATGGATAGCCATTTGCATAAAGTAGAACGTGATTTTCTTTGTACACGTGTGACTTTTCCGCGTGAAATGATAATATTTTACCATTTGGTCGAAGTGATCAACACCTTTCATGTGGTTATTGTAGTCACAGATTGTGTTTGGTGTGTTCACAATGACCTGTTGCAATGAACATGTTCCATCAGGTTTGTGCACTCGTTTCCTTCGTTCCACTTGTTGTGTACAGGTATCTGCATTGTGGCAAGTTGTGATGCGTAAAACCGCGCTTATCTTTCCACAGAATTATAAAAGTATTATCCTTCTTTCGGAATACAGTTTTATCTACTGGCAGTTTACCCTTTGCTTGTAGCTGAAGATCTTTTGGTGCACCGTGCTGCAATCTGAGAGTACCACAGGTGTATACATTTTGTTCAAGCAGCTTTTCACTCAGTTGAACAGTTACAGTAGTTATCCATATATAAATGGTAACCTTTGTTCGTCAGTGGTTCAATCAAGCCCATAACCATTTGAATCATTGTCTTCCCAATTCCTGCATACACTTCAAAATCATAGATGTAACCAATATGGGATTCAGCTAATATGTACAGCTTCACTCCATACTTATCAAGTTTATTTGGATTATCAACCTTGAAAGCTAGATGGTCCCTCCATGACATTGTGCCTTCATCCAAACACAGATTTTTACAGTGTGCCTTCATCCAAACACAGATTTTTACAGTGTGCCTTCATCCAAACACAGATTTTTACAGTGTGCCTTCATCCAAACACAGATTTTTACAGTGTGCCTTCATCCAAACACAGATTTTTACATTGTGCCTTCATCCAAACACAGATTTTTCTGAGGATTGTATAATGTTTTGGATTTATGTGAGAGATATTCCATGAATGTTCTAACTTTTATTAGTCGGTCTTGATTGTCTTTTGGAATGACTTTATTGTCATAAGTATGAAAATACTTCAAAATCAGTTCATATCGTTTCGCAGTCATATAAGTATTGAAAGAAGGTACATACCAAAATTTACCTGTTTGCTAGTACATTCTCATCACTGGCAACTTCATAATGGCCATCAACATTGTCAGTCTAAAATATCTAGCAAGCTCTTTTACACTCACTTCATCCCCACGTATTGCTTGAGTTGGATGCTTGAGAAACATTGGCGTTGCTTTGTGATGCATACAAGTTTGTTTCATATACCATATATTTCAGCAAATCTCATGTAATAAATTGTAAAAATCCAAGAACAGTGGTTGGTACTGGTACAGTCAAGCCTGGTGTTCCAGTTAAACTGTCTACAAATGATGGAGTGTTGTCAGTAGACCAGGCTTCACCATAACTGGTGCGTGGGGTATGAGCATGCCCTGTACCTGTGGCTGTGGGAGTATCACCATCAAAATCATCACTCCCCTCACTTTCAATTTCATCCTCACCTGCTGTTTCAGTTTCAACAAACTCACTATCTACAACACAGTCACTTTTGGCACTTTCAAGATCAAGATCAGATAATTCGTCACATATAGCCTGGAATTTTGTTGGTGTGAGTTTGACCTTGCTGTACTTTTGCCACACACTACTTAACTTATCCCTCAGATGTGTTTCTTTCACCGCTTTTGTCCTGGGATGGCACTGTTCTTGATCACTATCCATCTTGCAGTAAATGTATAGTGTATAAAGGCAATAACAAATATAGCTGAGGAGAAATAGCCAGAACGGGCACATGTGTTCGAGACGAGGGGAGGCCACAGCAGTCACGAGTCAGTAACAATGGGCCTACTGCGGCAAGCGGTGCCTTGATGCCACATGGGCCACAACAGAAAATGGGAAGACGTTGGCGCAAAGTTTAAAATGCGTCCCATAATGATCGGATAAATAATGGATTTTTAACAAATATTTTAAATTTGGACGTCACCTACGTCCCTAAGGAACATTCACAGAGTTATTTATGGATGTCATCTCCATCCCTAAGGAATGAAAGTGTTAATTCTCCTCCTGCCACAAATACAGTACACAGTGAATTGCAGAATACTAGTACTTAGAGGATGCAAGAATGAATGCAAAAATGTAAAATAAAGGGCAGTTCAAATCATGGTATTTAGGTCTCTCACCACACATCTTGTTTGTGTTAATATTGTGCAGCAACTTGTAAACAGGCGAACCTAACCCTGCGCACCCACAATTTTTGTATTAAAGACAAAATTACTGAAGCTTGAATTTGTTACCCAAAATCACTCACATTCAGGACTGGCTTCACCTAAGTTATTGTATTTCTCAAAATATTACTTTGTGTCTTCACTATTCTTAGTTTCTACTGCTGTATTATCATTAATTTTTCTATCCATTTATTTTTCTTAAGTAGCAAACTTGTCATGTACTAGAGTAAAATATCTGCCTTTTATTATCATCTTGTCCAGCAATTGTTTCTTTTTGCAAAAGATTGAACGGTTGCATTCTTCAGGTCTGATATGGCGAGACACAGCTTATGTTTGTGTCCCACTTGGCACTTTATCGTTATTCTGCACTGGAGTTTATACCGCATCATGGCAGTTTGATCCCTGTTGCAAATATCAGGTAAGCTTAACAGCATGTCTCGTGAACGTTTTAGAAATATCCAGCAAGATGCCTGTAGCAATCTTACTCATCCACATCACCCATTTTGCATCATTGTCACCTACAATTTCCTGTATTCTCTCCATCAGTTCAATCTTTCTTTCCATCTTTTCTACTTTTCCTTCATATATACCATTTACCATCTCTACATCTCTCTTGTAAATATCATTGTTGTTTTGCCTCCACTATTATGTCTTCATACCAGCTCATTTTCACCCCTGTAACTTTTAATGTATTATACATATAATTATTTTGGAGGATTTATATAAAATTGATGAGGTATGTCACATTTGAATTGAAGTTTATTTTTGCTGTGGTGTATACCTGGTCTTAACCCTTAAACTGCTCAGCCTAAGAGGCAGGGAAGCAAAAAATAGTTGAATTATGTAAAAGTTACTTACAAATTTTAAACAAATCTCCAACTTATTGGCTGCAGTGTCGTGAAACTTTCATCAAAATATTTTTATAAATTGATTTTAGATGAATATTAAAAAAAAAAAATTGTTGATAGGGAGAACAGCTCCTATTAACTGGAATTGATGGATAATGCAACAATAAAGAGATGTAAGTATCTGTCCTACACACAAAGAAGAAGAATAGTAGTAAAAAGTGTCTACAAAGTGGATATGCAGCTGGTGCCTTTGTAGCATTGGTGAGTAATACATAATAACACATAATAATGAGTAAGTATGTTATTATGCTCAATTTTATTATATATCATATAAATGCATTGCCTAATGTTATTATCAGTTACTTTCAACAATGTTAAAAAAAAAAAATTCTGTGGGGAGCCCCTATGGCTCCCTGGAGCTTATCGGGTATATTATATTAGACCGGGACATTAACTATAGAGTTCAGACCTACCAGGGACCATGAGCCAGAACCGGGCCCCTTCAGAGAGATGGCAGGGAGCAATGGGCCTGGAAAACCCCCTTGTGGTTGGGGGTTTTCCTTATCTGCCATTGACTGGGGTTAGGTAGGCATAACAAAACAAACTCCACATGGTAAAAAACTAACAACAAAAATCGAACAGAGAGGTATAACTCCCTACAATCCCAAGGAAACAAGCAAACAAGCAAACGTAACACACTACTGCCACGCCACTCGTCCACGCAGCCCTCCCTCTCCCTGAGAGTGGGAGGGGGGCCTCAGACCTCAACACACCGGCTGCATGTCACTCCAGTTCGTAAGCTAATGTCAACCGGGACAGATGCTTCTCTGTCCTCAGTTTACTAGGTGGTGTTTGCCTTCGTGGCACTCACTGCTGTGTTTTTGTGTTGTGCGGTGGCCAGGTGTTCCTTATCAGTACCGGGGCTGCATGTGCTTAGGGGCTTCCTTCCCTAAGCGCTCTGTGAGTATTGCCCCTGCGTGACAGGGTTATCTTCCCTGGGGCGTTCGGGAGCCATTCCCGTAGAGGTTCTTGATGCTCAGCATTTGCCTCGCCCTTGGGGCCAGCTGGGGCTTGGGGCACTTGTTTGGTCTCGGGTAGGGACTGGTATTGTGCTGGTTAGGGCATCAAGGTGTTGCGCGACCTGCTACCTATGCAATGACCGGTTCCTGTTACCCCTGGGGAAGGTATACTTTTGTGGGGGTTTTCTTTTCTTTTATTTTCATTGCCTAGTGGAGGTCTGCCTAGTGTGGCTATGGTTCCACTGGTAGTGTTATCTTGAGATGATTCTTGAGGTTATCTTGAGATGATTTCGGGGCTTTTTAGTGTCCCCGCGGCCCGGTCCTTGACCAGGCCTCCACCCCCAGGAAGCAGCCCGTGACAGCTGACTAACTCCCAGGTACCTATTTACTGCTAGGTAACAGGGGCATTCAGGATGAAAGAAACTTTGCCCATTTGTTTCTGCCTCGTGTGGGAATCGAACCCGCGCCACAGAATTACGAATCCTGCGCGCTATCCACCAGGCTACGAGGCCCCCTCTGTGTTTGGTGGCCCTCTGCTAGGTCCCTGTGAGTGTACGTGTTGCAGGGGTTTTCAGTATTGGCATCTACCCCGTGTTAGTTTTGGGTGTTAACCGGTTAGCAACACCTTGCCTGGGCTACCCGTAGCAGTCAGCCTACAGGCCCTGGAAAACCCTGTTGGGGCTCGGTGGACCATTGGATGTGTCTTCCGGGTTCCATCCTGTGTTGTGCGGGTTCGTTGGTTGCTGTGCCCTCGTCTCAGGTGACAGTCACCACTTTTCCCTCCGTTATGCTGCCTGTTTGGTCGCTGACACCTTGACCCAGAGTCTTGCGAGTTGTGTTCTCTGCTTGTTCTCCAGAACTCTCCTGATGTCCTTACTGTTCAGAGTACAAGTGGCATCCGCGTTGCAAGCTCGGTTCAGGTTGCTGCAATGCGCTAGGTTGTTTCCCACCCGGATGCCCTGGGGCTACCCCATTTTGGCTAGGTGCTGTTCGCACCTTTCCCTCCCTGTTCCCGGCTCCTGACCGTCTGTGGGTTTCGGGGTCAGGGCGGGGTTTAGTTAGGGCCGAGACTCGGGCGGTTTCGGGGGCTGCCCCGTTAGGGTTGGGGACGGAGGTTTTCGAGCCTGTTCCTCCTCCCAAGGCTTCTCCTGCCTCCCCTGACAACACCTTCCACTACTGACTCCACCTGCCTTCCCTGACAACTCCTTTCACCACCGACTCCACCTGCCTCCCCTGACACCTTCCACCACAGACCCCACCTGCCTTCCCTGACACCTTCCACCACTGACCCCACCTGCCTCCCCTGACAGCACCTTCCACCACTGACCCCCACCTGCCTCCCCTGACAACACCTTCCACCACTGACTCCACCTGCCTCCCCTGACAGCACCTTCCACCACTGACCCCCACCTGCCTCCCCTGACAACACCTTCCACCACTGACCCGACCTGCCTCCCCTGACAACACCTTCCACCACTGACCCCACCTGCCTCCCCTGACAACACCTTCCACCACTGATCCCACCTGCCTCCCCTGACAGCACCTTCCACCACTGACCCCCACCTGCCTCCCCTGACAACACCTTCCACCACTGACCCCACCTGCCTCCCCTGACAACATCTTCCACCACTGACCCCACCTGCCTCCCCTGACAACACCTTCCACCACTAACCCCACCTGCCTCCCCTGACAACACCTTCCACCACTGACCCCACCTGCCTCCCCTGACAACATCTTCCACCACTAACCCCACCTGCCTCCCCTGACACCTTCCACCACTGACACCACCTGCCTCCCCTGACAACACCTTCCACCACTAACCCCACCTGCCTCCCCTGACAACACCTTCCACCACTAACCCCACCTGCCTCCCCTGACACCTTCCACCACTAACCCGACCTGCCTTCCCTGGCAACACCTTCCATCACTGACACCACCTGCCTTCCATGGCAACACCTTACACCACTGACCCCACCTGCCTCCCCTGACACCACCTGCCTTCCCTTCCACTTTCCACCACTGACCCCACCTGCATCCCCCTGACATCTTCCACCACTAACACCACCTGCCTCCCCTGACAACACCCACCACTGACACCACCTGCTTTCCCTGCAACACCTTCCACCACTGACCCCACCTGCCTCCCCTAACAACACCTTCCACCACTGACCCCACCTGCCTCCCCTAACAACACCTTCCACCACTGACCCCACCTGTCTCCCCTAACAACACCTTCCACCACTGACCCCACCTGTCTCCCCTGACAACACCTTCCACCACTGATACCACTTTCCACAGCTGACCCCACCTGCCTTCCCTGACAACACCACTGACCCCACCTGCCTCCCCAGACACCTTCCACCACTGACCCCACCTGCCTCCCCTGACAACACTTTCCACCACTGACACCACCTGCCTCCCCTGACACCGTTTCATCATCCTTCAACCATTTTTCCCTAGAAACAATGGATAATCATAATAAAACACTGTATATCTGTTTACACTTTGGCAAATCATAGTTGATGACAGCCAGCTCCGATGCTTGGTCTCGGTGACCGCTTGGCCGAACAATCCTCGCTTAATCAAACATTTGTATGTTCCACTGAACATTTAGTATTCGATTTGTTCGGCTCTTCTGGGAATTCGCTAGAGCGGGGTTCGTTAGAGTGAAAAAGAACTGTATGAGGTTTCCTGGTGTTTCTATTCGCCATTTTCTTGCTCGTCGTTGGTTGTCTTCTCTTACGCATCTGGTTGTCTTGTCATTTCATGGTTTTCTGGACCGTTATTAATGCTTCTTACTGTCGCCTCATATTATGCGGCGCTGGCGGAGCCACTCCAGCTTACGCTCGGGGTAGACGTCATGTCCGCCCCGTTCCGTACGTTTTCTTGTGCTGTGTTTCACCTCCTGCCTGCTCATGCGCCACCTGAGCCGTCCTGGTTCTTGGTCAGGGTGCTCTCTTATCTTTCCTCTCCTCGGTTTGTGGTAGCCCCTTCGGTTTAAGATTGTTTTTCAAAGGTCGTATTTTTGTTGGCATTGACCTCTGGGGGGGGGGGTCGGATCGGGGAGCTTCCGGCTCTCCTTCGGCGCAGGGGTTTGTCCTCTTTTGGTTCTGGTGGTAGGTTTGTATGTTTGCAGCCTTCTCCGTCTTTTCTGGCGAAGGCCGAGACAACTACATTCCGGAGGGGTCCCTGGGTTATTGATGCTTGGTTGATTTGGCCGGGAATGCGTCATGTGTTGTATCTGGTTGCGGCTCTTCACCGTTACCTGCGTACCGTGGCTGGGGATGCGCTTTGGGTTGATCCAGTTTCCCTCATTCCCTTTTCCAGGGCTCGGGGTCTACCAGGTCGACAGTAGGGTTAAGTCTAGCCAGCCTGCGGTCTATCCTCGTGCCCGTGCCATTCGGATGTTTGCAGCTTTCACTGCCGTGTTTGGTAATTTGTCTTGGGCTCATTTCGAGTGCAGGGATTTGGAGATCGTACAGGTTCCTGGTTGCCCATTATTTTGTGAGTATGTCTGCTCCTGGGCGTTCTGGTGTTGCTTTGGGTTGCAGGTTGCAGCCTGTTGTCTCGACTTCGCGTTGTGGAGTTTGTGGCGGCCGCCTCCCGGATCAGCCCTTTCTTTTCCTTCTCTTTGGGTATGCAGCTCCAGGGAGCCGTAGGGGCTCCCCACAGAAAACCAGCGTTGAATGTAATGAAATGTCATTTTCTGGGTGAGCCCCAGAGGCTCCCTGGCAACCCTCCCTCCCACCGGTTGGCATTTTTTCGCGTTGTTGCTTGCCTTCCAAACTAGAGTGCTATGCAGCTGGAGTGGTGAGGTCCGGCCCCGCTCCCCACCCCTCTCGGGAAGGTGAGAGCTGTGCGGATGCCGGCACTCGGATGGTAATCTTGGGCATAGCATTTTATCAAATCCTCATTTTTTGGGGCAACACGTGAGGAACACAAATGCGAAGAAGCCTGAATGGTCCCCAGGACTATGCAACAAAAAATGAGGTGAATAAAAAAAAAAAATAATATATATATATTATATATATAATATATATATATATATATATGTCGTACCTAGTAGCCAGAACGCACTTGTCAGCCTACTATGCAAGGCCCGATTTGCCTAATAAGCCAAGTTTTCATGAATTAATTGTTTTTCGACTACCTAACCTACCTAACCTAACCTAACTTTTTCGGCTACCTAACCTAACCTATAAAGATAGGTTAGGTTAGGTTAGGTAGGGTTGGTTAGGTTCGGTCATATATCTACGTTAATTTTAACTCCAATAAAAAAAAATTTACCTCATACATAATGAAATGGGTAGCTTTATCATTTCATAAGAAAAAAATTAGAGAAAATATATTAATTCATGAAAACTTGGCTTATTAGGTAAATCGGGCCTTGCATAGTAGGCCAAAAAGTGAGTTCTGGCTACTAGGTACATGACATATATATATATATATATATATATATATATATATATATATATATATATATATATATATATATATATATGTCGTACCTAGTAGCCAGAACGCACTTCTCAGCCTACTATGCAAGGCCCGATTTGCCTAATAAGCCAAGTTTTAATGAATTAATGTTTTTTCGACTACCTAACCTACCTAACCTAACCTAACCTAACTTTTTCGGCTACCTAACGTAACCTAACCTATAAAGATAGGTTAGGTTAGGTTAGGTAGGGTTGGTTAGGTTCCGTCATATATCTACGTTAATTTTAACTCCAATAAAACAAAATTGACCTCATACATAATGAAATGGGTAGCTTTATCATTTCATAAGAAGAAAATTAGAGAAAATATATTAATTCAGGAAAACTTGGCTTATTAGGCAAATCGGGCCTTGCATAGTAGGCTGAGAAGTGCGTTCTGGCTATATATATATATATATATATATATATATATATATATATATATATATATATATATATATATATATATATATATATATATATATATATATATATATATATATATATATATATTATATATATATATATATATATATGTATGTTACCCTACACACAGTTAGATTGTCATATCCTTCAAGTAGACCTGTTCGAAATAAGTGTATGGAGCACCACTTGGCAAATGGAATTTAATGTGAATAAATGCCATGTTATGTAATGTGGAATAGGAGAATATAGACCCCGACACAACCTATAAATTATGTGAGAAATCTTTAAAGAATTCCGATGAAGAAAGAGTTCTAGGGGTGGTTCTAGATAAAAAACTATCACCTGAGGACCGAATAAAGAACATTGTGCAAGGAGCCTATACTACACTTTCTAACTTCAGAACTGCTTTTAAATGGCTCCCAGAACTGAAGGACAAGAGCTAAGAGGAGAGATTAGAGGCATTAAATATGTCAAAACTAGAAGATAGAAGAAAAAGAGGCGATATGATCACCATGTACAAAATAATAAGGGGAATTGATAAAATTGATAGGGAAGAATTCCTGAGACCTGGAACTTCAAGAACAAGAGGTCATAGATTTAACACTTTTGCGTTCTCGGAGTGAGCTCCCCAGCCTACCCCAAGGTTCGCCGAGTGTTTTGCCTGAGCGAGCAGCCACTGAAATGTGTATACTCACTTCAGTTTTCTCACCTCAATTTTCATTGTATATCATTTATTTTGGTATCAAATTGTTTGCAATAGAATTCCCTATAGGTGTATATGCATATAAGGTCCAAAAGCCAGGCTTGCCACCCGCACCAAACCCAAAAGTCAGACAAGTGTTACCCTTGATTGTGCAACAGCAATAAAATGTGTATACTCTTTTTTTCAGTTTTCTCACCTCAATTCTTGTGCTATGTCGTTAATTTTGATATAAATTTCTTCGCAATAGAATTCCTTACAGGAATGTATGCATATAAACTCCAAAACACCTCCCCACCCCCATACAAACAAACATACATTTACTCTTGTAGATATAGCTTTATATTATTAGATATCAAGTAATATTTATCATAATTTTTTTGCAGGTAGAATATGACTCTGGTCGTTTGTCCCGCTTACCTCTTCAGTCATTGTCTTCTGCGTCACCAGTTGTATTGGTGCGAAGGGATGATTCTAGGAGAAAAATCCTACACAATTGTGTATCTTTAGTTTCATTTTCATATTGCATGTGGAGACTTTATCAGATGTACAAGTAGGGCTATAGGGAGAATTATTATACATGTAGTACCATTAAGACTATGCATGAGTATATTTGTAATATTATTTAGGTAATGTATGAGTTGTACATGTAATATCATTATTAAATAAGGAATGTACACAGAGTAGGACTGGATGTATTGTACAGAAAGGATCAGATGAATTTCATTTAATATTTACCCCTGCAAATTACAGTATGTATTGTATGTACATTGTATATTTACAGGAATTTGTCAATTTGAGCCAAGTGCTTAATTGCTGCGACATCTGTATTATAATATTTTATAGTACAGTATAGATTTATTTAATTTTTTATTAACTTAATAGACAATTCTTTAGTCAAAGCTTGTTATTTTTTTCATAAAGTTTTGAATGATCCTCAGCTTGAGGTATCTAGTCTAGAAGACTAGATACAGTTCTTGACCTGGGGGAAATAATTGCAACACCTCGGAGTATGTCAAAATGAATTCATTAATTAGCCATACATGAAGAGGTAAGCTCAAGGCATGCAACTGCACTGGGTCATGTGGTAGCTTTTGTAAATTATGTTTTATTACTAATTTTCATTTTGAGGTCTTAGGCCATCTGATGACTTGTACTCTTTGAAGGCTTTGGAGAAACTATTTGAAAAGTTCAGAAATCATACAGCATTCTAAAGATTTTCATTTCATATCAATTGTCTTGCTGGCAACAGTTTCAAGAAAATTATAGGATGCAGAGAAGTAAATAATTTCATGGAAAATTAATTTGGTTTTACAGGTCATGAATAAAACCCAGTAAGAAAGAGTGCAATGCATTTTGTAGCACCAAATGTTTGATTCATTAACCAAATATTGATGGTGTAGTACAGAAGAATACCAGTACAGTATACTTCATTTTGGCTTGAGTGTTCACAGCAGTTTTCTTTCTTCTTCATTTAGAAAGAAGTACAAAGTGCAGATTTTAGCATGCATTTTGTTAGGGCATCATTCCATATTTATTTTCTTAATCTATCACAAAATTCATCTTTCATTATTTATCTCAATCATTGTATCGGCAAGTATTTCAAGCTTGCAATTCTCTTGTGCAAAATGTCAGTGCTCAAATTCCGGAAAGTGTATGCTTAATTAAACAATAAGTAAATAGTTAGAAACTTTATTTTTCTAATATTATTATACAGTATTTATATTTTTCACTAAATGACATGAAAACCTATTGAAATGTGAGTAATCCCATATAGTGCCAAGGTAATTTTTTTTTTTTTTTTTTTTGCATGAATAAGTTGGCTAGCAAAGGGTTACAGTAACATTATTTTGTTAGTCACCTTAGACTATGCAACAACATCTTGTGTAAAGAAAAGCATTTAATTAAATAGCTCAATGTAGCTACATTGTAACTAGAGGAAGGTTGCTGCCACAAGGCCAAGGGCAACCACCAACCACCTTGAATAAAAGTGCGCTATCCACTCCAGGTTTCAGAGGAACAGCTTCCCAAAGAAAAGAATGACAAGGGAAGAAATGTACATTAAATAAAGCTCTTGGTACCCATGGATTCTTGGGTAGCAACTTCTTGTATGGAAGATGCTGCCAATAATATTATTCAAAGAAGCGACCTTCACAATAAGGGGAAGCTACCTGCTGCAGTATCCAAGGTAACTATTTCCTGATAATGTAATTTATCTTTATCAAACTTTGGGTATAATACTTCCTTATGAGAGAGGAGCTATATGGTACAATGGCTAGAGTAAGAAACTCCTGGAAAAGATGTTCATAGCTATCTACCACATGACCCAAGGCAATAATTCGTAGTGTGTTATCTAACAATGGTATCAAATTCGTGATCAAAGAAATTTAGATTATCAAAGAGTGAAGGTTAAAAACTTGAGAAGGAAGCTCATTACCATGAGACATTTTATTAATATATATGTAAAGAGACTGTGTATGGTTATCTTCAGCTCAGTCAGCAAGGTTTCAAAGCATTTTGTGAGAAATGAATTGACCAAGTTAAAAGCAAGAGGGAGGAAGTTAATTAGAAGACTCGGTTTTTGAGTCTTGCAAAGGAAGTTTACCCAGCACAATTTTTTCTGCTTTTAAGAATCAAATTTTGGTTCTTAAAAACTAATAATTCAGGGTAGTTTAATGCAATGGACCATTTTTTTTGTGTATGAAATACATGATTAGAGAAATGCAATCTCGCTCTTCAGTAGGAGAGGGAGTCATTGTGGGGATTGTACAGACAGTATTTAAGTACAGTACTGTAATGTAGTCTGTACATAAATTTATAGTAACATAATAACATGTCTTTATTTTGTAACAATGAATTAAACCAAATATCACAAATGGATTTTATTACACCAAAAAGTAGTTAATTAATAGAATATGGTAAGTAAAAATTCATGAATCATCTTCTCGATGGTACGTGCAGTTTGCATGGAGGGTTTATTCTCCTGATGACTGCACAAATATTAATCTTTGGAAACACGTCACTGTGGAGCATCCCTGTTGAGAATGACATGATTTGAAGACTTTTGTTTGTTGTCTTTTCCTGTAGATACAGCAGAAGCAACTAAAATTAGGCATGTTAAGAGGCGTGTTGGGATAATTCTTTTCCTAATTTGAGGAAAGAAAGAATAATACTAGTCTTCTATTGGGAAGGGATATTACCATGTGTCCAGCAAAGGTTGTGGAAGTTTAGAAGGGTGTTATGTACAGTTGATGAAAGATATTTGATAAGTTCATATGGAATTTCGTCCTCACCAGGTGCCATGCCAATATGTAAGTGGGTTAAGGCTAATTGTAGTTTGCTTAAAGTGCAAAAGTTGTCAATGTTGGGCATGGGCAGCTGTACTGCATGTTAAATTTTTGTTTAGGGAAAGTTCTTGGGCATAAGAGGTTGAGAGGGTTAATATAAGACAATTAGCAAGAACATTTGCACACATCTGCAGTATTGCGTCAAAAATTGAGTAGACAAGGAATGATGCTTTCGCACGTCAAAAAACCAGCGTTGAATGTAATGAAACGCCATTTTCTGGGTGAGACCCGGAGGGCTCCCGGAACTATCCAGGCTGATATTGCTAATGTCAGACTTTGGCATCAGTCATGTGTACGGAATTCTTAGGCCTATCTGGGACCACGAGCCAGAACCTGGCCCCCCTGAGAGAGGCACGAGGAGCAATGGCCTATAGAAACCCCCATGTGGTTGGAAGCATTCTATGTCTGCCATCGACCGGGTTAGGCACCCAGAAAGGTAAGCATCCCAGAACAAACCCTCTATTCTAGTCAAGAAATTACTACTGAGAGCCGAACTAGAAAACAGAAATACCAAAATAAAAACGAGCTAACGAGTATGACATCGCCATCTGCGCAGCTCCCCCCGCCCTGGGAGGGGGAAGGGGGAGCCCCAGACCCCCTTGTGCTGGCAACCCAAGACCCCAGTTCTGAGGCTGGATATGAAAACAAGTGAAAAAACACCAACCGAAGGGAGGGACGGTTGCCGGGGAGCCTCCGGGTCTCGCCCAGAAAATGGCATTTCATTACATTCAACGCTGGTTTTCTGGGGGGAGCCTCATCAGTTCCCCGAAGCTACCTACCTAAAGACGAAAACAAGAAGGACCTAACCTGGGAGGCATAAGTCGCTCACTCTCCAACGCGAAGCAGAGACAAAAGACTGCAACTGCCAACCAAAGGCCGCACAGGCCCGACAAGGTCCATGAACATCAACGAAGGAACGCGTAGCCAACCTACGAACGTCATGGGTAGAGGGATGGACAGCAGGCTGGCTAGACCGAACCACCCTGTGAACCACCTGAGAGAACCACACCCTGGAACAGGGAAGAAGAGAAAACGGGACAACCTGAAGCGTGACCCCGGTCACAGCAGCCGTGGCACGCAAAGAACGGTAAAGCACCGCAACTGAACACAACATATGATGCAACCCCGGCCAGACCAACCAAGCATCAACAAACCATGGACCCCTCCGGAAAGCAGCCGTGTCAGTCTTTGCCAGAAAAGATGGAGATGGCTGCAAGCGAACAAACCTATCATGAGGACCAAAAGAGCCGAAACCCTGGGGCCGGAGGAAGAGCATGAAGCACCGCAACCCAACCCCCAGAGGCCAATGCCAACAGGAAAAGATCCTCGGAAAAAATCCAGAACCGAAGGGGCCACAACAAACCGAGGAGAAGAAAAGAGAGCACCCAATCCAAGAACCAGGATGGCTCAAGCAGTGCAAGAGCAGGCCGGGGGTGAACCACACCAGAGACAGCTCGCGAATTGGTGCAGAGGGAATACCAAAACCGAAGCAACCCGGAGTGGCTCCGCCAGTGCCGCACAAGACAAGGTGACAGTATGTGGCAAGATGACGGCCCTGAACCTTCAGAAGAGAAGGACAAGACCACGCCAACAAAACACAGCAAACCTACGAAGGGACAAAAAGAAAAAGGAAGGCCCGCCAAAAAACCCCACACCGCCGGCCGAGACGTAGGTGGGACACCATCAACGAAGCTACCTGAACACCAACAGATGGTGAGATACTCAAGGCAGAACCGAACCAGCCCCGCCATGGACGATCGAGCATAGGAAGAGGCAGAGCCGCGGAAAAATCTCGGGTGAGGTTTTCCACCGAGCAAGCTGAGCCGGAAACCCAAGCCGGCAAGGACCCAGATGTCTGCCGTACAGAAAACTTCCCAATGCTAGCGTGCTCGCCAGAAGATCGGAGACACTCTGGTTCCGACGCGAGACTCGTGAGAAGTGACACCGCAAGATCAGGAAAATGCCAACTGGCAAGGCAAGCCAGGAAACCATGAACCCAACCCGGGCGAGCAGAAACGCCTCGTCCATGAGGAACCCCCCGGAACCCCTGAAGGATCAACAAGTCCGACAACAGATGACAACTAGAAGCCGCCAGCAGAAAAACGCCAAAACGCAGACGCCGCAAACAGCAAGGACAAATGTGCGTGGAAAAAACGAAGAACCAGGGCCCAGGCCGAGGCCAACAAGGAATCGAGCACCATGAGCCGAAACGCAAAGCGAAAAGCAGGTATAACGCATCCCACAGGAGCGGCGAACGCAGCCCCAACAGAGCAGAATGAAGCATGCAATACCAAGTAAGGTATGAGGAGGACAAACCAGGACGTGAACAGCACAAAAACAAAATTGCACCGCTCGAAAGGGAACACAAAGAAAAAGGCCGGAGCTAGGGCCTGAAACCTAGCACCTTCCGGCCCAAAGAAAAGAAACTGCAAGGGCAGGAGAGGAAGAACAGAAGCAACATCCACCTGCATACAGGGCAACCCAGAAGCTGGAAGTGCCAAATGAAAGCTGGAAGATGATGAAAAATCAGGACCATTACCGGACACAGGGGTGGTGCAAAAGCAGGGAACTGAACATGGACAAAGTCCAAACTACCATTAGCAGAGCCAAGAAGTACATACTAAAACACACAACAATGTATAGGAGAGAAGGAGAAAAAACGGAAAAATGCAAGAAAAAGACCAGCAAGACATTTCAAGCACCAGCAGCAAGGAAGAAGAGGAATGAAGAAGACAGGCAGCAATCAGGAACGAAAGGGACATAACCTACCACACACACAGAATTTAATATATATATGGAAGGGCCCAGCCAGGCACCGCACGATGGTCAAGGAATGAGTGTTCAAGATAAGACCTCGAAAGACAGGGCCATGCCCCACAGTGTAACAAATAACACAGACGAACAAGGAAGGCCACAGAAAGAAGCACGCAATGGGCCAAACAAAACTCCACAACTAATTGCCAACACTCGTCCAAAAACCACGAACCAGCGCCTGGCCGAAAGAGACGCACAACCGCATAAACTCACCTGCACAGAGTAGGCACTAACATGCCACTACACATCTGAGCCGAGAATATTCCGGGAGCACTGCTAGTGGAATAAGGCCAGAGGAGCACGTGCAGGAGAAGAGTAGGGGAGGGGCAAATGCGGTGTTCCACACCCGTATGCAGATAAAAACTAGGCGTCCTCCCCATATTGGTAATCCAGAATACCCCTCAGTATCTACGGGGCTCTGACTGGAGAGAAAAGAGGAGCAAGAGAGGCAAAGCACCCGAGAGAAAAAGGACGTGGAACATCAATACCTTTGTACACAGTCCGTAAACAAAAAAACTACCACGGCGCATGCGCAGGAGGCATGAGGTCCGAACTGCACAACCCGCCCGGCGGGGAGGGCACCAACTAGGAGTAGTTAAGGAATATTAGCAGTGCCGAGACAAAGCACGGCAAAAAGATATAATTACAAAAGAACGAGACAGTACCAAAAACCAAGAAGAAGCACGGAAGAGGACCAATGAGTCCTAGAAAAGACTGTAGGAAGCCTCACCGGATGATGACAGACGTTCCAATAATACCGGAAGAATCGAAGACCGTCCCGAACCTTCGAGATCCATCAGAAGCAAGAACAAAATCACGAAGGCTCATAAAGGCACAGTCGCACCCGAGATCAAAGGTCATGCAGAACCCGATACGAGAGGAATATGACCTTGACATGATGAAGTCCTGTCCCAGAGAAGAAAGGTGAGAAAACGGTGAAGAGTACCCACTGACAGGATGGAACCGACAGACCCGAAGGGACAAGGAACCAAACCCAAGGAGGGGCCGATACCCAACAACTTGTACGCAGAGGGGGGAAAGGAAAAAAAAACACTCTCCGTAACTGCAAGCCCCACTCAGGGTAGAAAACCCTGGCGTGGAACAACGGGGCCCGAGACCCCCCCCCCCCAAGGCAGCTCCTCAGCCCTGGAAACCTCCACGGCAGGACCCGGGGCCGAGCCGTCCCCCCAAAGTCCCAGCCTCCCAAGAAAAAGCCGGGGCAGCCAGATAAATAATAAGGAAGGGAGCCCACTGGCAGACCCATACATCACAGCTGGAGGAACAGGCTTGAATGCCTCCGTCGCTACCCCGGAAGGGAAAATCCCCGAGACCGCCCGAAAACAAAACTGAAGTGACCAATACCCTCAAGCCTCGTCACAACAACCAAAATGGGGCAGCCTCGGGCTTCCAAAAAGCAAACAACTTCCAAAAGTAACCACCTGAACCCAACGTGCAATGCTCATGCTGCCTGCACCCACATAGTCAGCATAGGACAGGGTAACTGAGTCACAAACAAGCAACAAAACTCGCACCGAGTTGAAGGTGCCACCAACCTAACAGGCAGCAGACGGAGGCAAAAACTGAGTCACCCTGAGACAAGGGGGACAGAACAATCCTCAAACTCGCACAAAGCGAGGGGGGGACTCAGGGGTCACATCCATCAGACCCACGCGCCCCCGTGGGGATTCCCAGGGTCCTGAGATGGAACTCAAGTT